AGAGGCCAATCTTGATTTATGTATCAAGAGATTAAAGATGAGTCTTTTATTCTTGATACATTGCCAAAATATCTAAGAGCCTATCGAGTCACACGCATAAGTTTAAGTATTCACATTATAAATGAGAAGCAAAAATAATAGAAAAATTTTTCAATTATAGAAGTTTTCTATTTTGAAAAGAGTTTCCAAAATGGAAAGTTTTCTATTTTAGAAATCGGTTTTTCGATTTGGAAGTTAGTTTCAAATTTGGAAATCAAGAACCTAAAAGGAAAGGAGTTTCCTAATTTACATTGAAGGGTATTTTGGAAAATTGTTTCCTAATGTGGACCTCGTCAAAATAATCTAAGAATATTTATTTGAATACTCCAAATAAATTAATTGGGCTAAAATGGTTTTGGCTCAGTAGATTTAATTAAAAGCTTAAAGATAATTTTGGTGGGAGGATAAACATCAACCTTATTGGATAAGGTTGAATGTTTTAAAGATAATGATCAATTAGTCCACATATAAAATAACTCCTCATCCTTTCGAGGATAAAGAAGCAATAACCTAGTGTCCTTTATGGTTGAATGTTTTAAAGATAAACATTAATCTTATTGGATAAGGTTGAATGTTTTAAAGATAATGGTCAAATAGTCCACATAAAAAATAACTCCTCATCCTCGGAGGATAATGAAACAATAACCTAGAGTCCTTTATGGACTCATAGCCGCCACTCTCCTTGTCCTTGGAGGACAAGGAAACTCTCCTATAAATATATAGGAGGGAGATGAAAAATTAGGCTAAAATAAGAAAAAAAAAGAGAGAGAAAATTAGGGTAGTCCAAAAATTCACCTTGGGCACACTGCCAAGAGAGAAAATAAAGGAGAAAATAGTTTTCTCCTAAACCCTAGTAAGAAATATTCTTTCCTTCTCTTTTGAAGGTTGTCACAAAATTGCTTGTGATTGATTTCTAGAGGAAATACGAAATCGGAAAAGGTGGAGCTATCACCTATTAATTTTGAGTGCTTATTTATGGATACTTGGACTCGCGTTGATCATCATTAGAGGTCGAACACTTAGACAACTTTGTTGAAAAAGAATTTAGATCCGCATTACAAGAGGTAATCCTTTACTTATAGCTTATTATTCATGTATGTATGGTTAGTAGATTCAACGATTTGATCTTGGGGCCGTAGATGGAGGAAATTTTTATTTATTCTACACCTCTATAGAATGCATGATCCTTCACTATTCACTCTTAGGTTTTTTTTTTTTTTTCAAATTCTTTCGTTTTGGTTCATAAAAATTTTAATCCATAGCTAATGCACTACATGTCTTTTCTTTTTTTGTTCTTTTTTTTCCCCTTTACTTTTTTCCATCAATTTATATATATATTTTTTTATTTAATTGGGTGTTACCCTCACAATTTTCTATTCACTATTAGTTTTTTTTTTTTTTTGTGATTTTTAAATTATTTTGTTTTGGTTCATAGAATTTTAAAATAAAAATTTTAATCCCTAACCGATGCATTACATGCATTTTCTTTTTCTTTTTTCATCGATTGACGTTCTTTTTTTATTTAATTGGGTGTTAAAATTTTTAAAAATAAATCGTTATTTTTTCCATACAAACCGATGATTATATAATATATACGATATGTTTTTATATTTTAAAATAAATATATACTAATTTTATTATTTAAAATTGATATTTTTTTATTTATTATAAAAATTTTCATGAAGTTAATTTTTATTCTCATTTTTATATAATTTTATTTATTAATAAATATGATTTATTTTCTCTATGTATGGATTCGAATAAGTTTTTTTTTTATACCAGCTTTTATTTGCTTAAATCTTATATGATCAAATTTTAAAAATAGAATATATGTATTTTATTTTCTTATTCTTTATATAATCAAATTTTATCAAAATTAATTTTATAGTTTTTATTGCAATCTATTAACTTCAAATATTATATATTATAATTTAATTTTTTAAAAATATTTTTTTATTTATACTATACATTCTCAACCATTGAGTGCGGTCATAATGTATAAAAAATAATAATATTAGATTCATTGATTTTAGTAGAAATAAGCTATACATCTACACACACGATACCAACTATTTGCTATTATTTTTTATATTTTAAAATTAATTTTTTAAAATAAAATAATTAAGATAATATTTTAGAATAACCGTTTAATAATTCAAATACAATTTTATATACTAATATTATTCATTATTTTGTAAGTAAATATATATAAATCAAATGTATATAATATTTTTTTAAAATAATCTTTTCATGAGTAAAAAAGCTTCATTTGTTAATTTTCATACAAGTTTTTATATCAATTGTTACTTTATTTCTTAGATGGAATTTTATCAAAATAATAATAATAATAATAATAAGACTAATAATTTTTAAAAAAAATTATATTAAAATTTGTTTATTAAGAGTTTTTATTTAGGAATAAATGCATAAGAAAGAAAAAATCATATTTTTTTTTTACTTCAAAATTTATTCAAAACACACATACTCGTGCACACACGGACACACACAAATTTTGATTAAAAATTATTACAAAATTAGATAGATTTTGATCTTCTATATTTAATTTAATATATTTTAGGTAATCGAAAACACAATATATATTATCAAACTGAAATAAATATGTTTTGTTCGATCAGTAGCGTAACGAATGAATCCAAATAGTTAATATGCCAAAAATTGCTATTCACTTACCATTCATATGTATAAAATTACTATTCACTTGATGGCAATTTAAGTATTTTTGTGTGTGGTTTTTTGTTTATTTTTGGGCATTAATATGGAAATTTAAAACTTTTTTCTATTTTCATCCCTCATATTGTAACATTGTTTTTCAATCCTTGGCTTTCTTTTTCTTTTTCTTTTTTTTTTTTTACGCAACAAATATATATATATATATATATATATATATATATATATATATAAATTAACATATACTTCATTTTATATTACTTATATTATTTAAAATTTATTTTTTGAATTTATTATTTTTTAATGAAAATTCTCATCCAATTAATATTTTTTATATAATTTTATTTACTAATAAATATAATTTATTTTACTTTATGTTTGAATTTTAGAATAAAATTTTAAAACATGATTGTTTTTTATTTTTTAAAAAATAAATTGGTATAATATATATTATGAATTCTTAGAATTTTTAAATGATAATTGCATATATATATATATATATATATATATATATATATATATATATATATATATATATCCGAGAGGGTAAAAGTGTATTTTAAATAATTTGTATCAGTTCACTAAGTATGGTCAATATATATATATATATATATATATATATAAACTATTTAATCATTATTTTTATTAAAAATTAACTATACATTTTGTAACATAATACAAATTATTTACTATGAATAGTTTTTTTAATACTATAGAACAAATTTATTTGAAATAAAATAATTAGAATAATTTTTATGGAAACCAACCAATTATTCAAGTACTATTTTTTATACTAATTTTTATTGATTATTTTGTAAATAAATATATATAGATCAAATGCATATACTTTAAAAAAAATAATCGTCTCATTAGCATTGAATAAGCATAAAATTTTAATTTTTCATGACTTAATTTTTATACAAGTCTATACATTAATTGTAATTTTATTTTTTTGATATATTCTTATAAAACAATATATTTTTAAAGTATTTATTTTTAAATTCTTAATCAATATGTAAGGTTTAAATTATTACAAATTTTTATTTAAGAATTCATAAATAAAGAAGAATAAATCATGTTTTTTTAAGCAAAAATTTTATGGAAAACACAAAAAATAGAGTAACGATTAAATAAAAAATTAATGAAAAATTATAAAATCTTGAAATGATTTTATTCTATGTGCCGGTAGCGTTACACGGATAATTTCAAAGATTAATCTTCTCATCAACATTAAATAAGAATTTTTTTATTTGTTAATTTTTATAAAAGTTTATTAATTAATTATAATTTTATTTTTTAGAATACAATATTATGAAAAATATATTTTTAAAATTTTCTTAATTTTTGATTAATAATTTAGTTAAAATCAATCCTTAAAAAAGAATTGTTTGTGTTTTTTAAGCAAACATTTATAAAAATAAATATTAAATAAAAAATAAAAAATTACAATTAATAAATTTTAAAATATTAAAATAATTTTATTGTACTAGACTGTAGTGCGAATAATCGGCTAGTTTATGGTATTGTTTTTTCGAGATCTGCTGTAGGAAAATGACAGTGGTACTTCAAAGGTAGCTTCTAATACCCTCGCAACGCATGCGAGCACTCATCCCAACAGAACCAGTACTGGGTTCTTTTCGTTCTTTCACTTTCTTTCTCCTGTCCAAAATCAAGAAATGACAGTGCCTTATTTTAAAATCTTGAAAACAAGTAGTTGGTTAATTATTTTGTTACCATTTTAGTTTTGATTTTATTAGTTTTGATTTTACTTACTCATCATTTCAAGTTCATATTCAAGTAACTTGAAGATTTCCTATGCTAGTTTTTTGACATCTGAAGCACCCTCCTCTTTAAAGCGCATAGATTTGATGCTGAAAATAGGCTCTAGAAACCCTTGATTCTTCTTTCACTGGATATCAGTTTTATAAGGGTTTTTAGAGTCCTGCCAAAGGTATCTCAACTGTCTTTTAAAATCTTCCAAATTGTCATTAATAATTACTAGCTTTCCCAGGATTCCTTCACTAAGGTTTTTTGGTGTTTATTTCAAGATTTTAAAATTTGAAATCCATATTTTGTAACTGCTTGTTTTCCATCATCCTTTTTTCCATCGAGGCATTTGTATTTTTCTCTTGAGTTTTGCAATATAATCACCTCTTTGGGTTCTCCATTACTCACATCAACTGAAAGAGTTCTCTTCTTTAGCAAGTATAAGCTCGGTTTTCTTCAAATACTCTGTTTTCTTTGAGTTCTGTTTGCTCAAATTTGTGAGAGTAATGGCGAGGTTTTTCAATGTTTTCTCGTTGAGGAACTTACTAGTGCTGTCTCTAGCTCTTAATGTGAGCTTGATTTTGAGAGTGCTGTATGAGAAAGACTCCGAAGTCATGAATGGGCTCTGTCTGGACAAGAAGAGAGAGACATTAATGGCTACTGACAGTGTGCCTAGTGAGGCACAAGCTACTGAGACGGTATATCTGTCTATGCCCTCTTTTTCTTCTTCCTCTACAGCGGATAGCAATGGCGGGGACAGAATAATCAATCTTGATCAGTAAGTGCTGTAGTTCTTTTCTTTTCCATGTTTTCAAAGTATCATTTACACCTTTTATTTTATTTTCTTTCTTTATTTATTTTTTGCATAAACAGAACCAAATAAGTTGGTTAATTCAGTGAACTTCACTGTTAATTTTATTTATTTATTTATTTATTTATTTTACTAAAGTGCGCATGAATAATTTAATTATTCTGGTCTCAGTAAAGCTTTATGTCTGAATGTGTTTTTTTTTTTTTTTTTTTTTTTTTTAAATATGTGGACCTCCCTCCAAATTCGTGGTTGAATTGCATCACTTGTCCTCATAGGCAAGGTCCACCATTACTTCTTTTTTTCTACAACGGTCGATGGAGTTTTCTGTGTTTTATTGGTATTCTGATTTTAGAGGCTCTCATATTCAGGGATAATACTGAAAGCTTGCAGATGGAGTAGGTTTTTCTTTTCATCTTGAGATAACCGTACACACCTCTTTTAAGTGAAAGTCCACACAGTGCTTAATTAATTAAAAATGAAATAGGGATAGTAAGACTTGGAACTAAGGGTCACTTCATCAACCAAAATTTAATACTATATCAAAGTATATCTCACCTGAAAATTCAAACATATAATTTGTATGACTATCTAACATTTTCCCGTGATTCCTAACCTGCGATATCAGTTTTAGTAGTACTACCAAACACCAAAAGCTATGCTAGGTGAGATAAGTAGACGGTGGTGTGATTTGCCAGAGTAGAAAAAAACATGTCTTTTCTTTTATTGCATGTTAGACAACTGGGGTGACTTTTTCCCCCTTTTTTTTCTTTTTTGGCTTTTTCTTTTGTCATTTTCTGTTCCCAAGTTGAAGGGTGAATATTAAGTGCAAAAATAGCAATAACACTTGAAAACCACCATGGATGGTGGTGCATATTGAACACTTTTAACCAGCACCATCATTATGTGCCTTGGTTGTGGTCTTGTGGACCTGGCTCAAACTTTAAAAAAAATATATATATATATATATATAGTAAAGATCACTGTTTTAATTCTTTTTATAGCTATGCACAAATTGGAAAAACCCAAGTTGCATGTTAGCAAAAGGCACTATGGGGGCTTGGAAGTAGATTCATGTCTGTGAGGTCCATGTGGGTTCTTTGTGCACATTGCACAGGCAGCCTTCCTTTTGGCTTTTGGGGAGATCTGAAGAATAAAGGGTGTGCATGTGTGAGGGGTTTTGGGGAGGTGTGTCATCTGAGAACTTTGGCCGCCTGTCTTTTGCATCAGGTTTAAGGTCCTCCTTTTAGTTCATGTCGAAGAGTGGGCTCTTCTGGATCTACTACCACTTTGTGGGTCCTTTGTAGATATGCACCAATTATAACTGGATCTTTACTTGGCGCATCACATAGATATCATGTTAGCCATGCATATACATTATCTAATCGTTGATTCCTCATAGAAACGGACCTACAATGTTGCTCTTCCCATACCAATCTGGAATCCTACTGTAGACTTGTAGTTTTCTGTTTAGAAATATGCGAGGTGTTCTGAGTTTTTGCTGCATAGCATGTGTTTTTATGCGAGGTAAATTATTATGACCACTTGAGCTCATTATTTGATCCATGCTGGTGATGGATTTTGAATGTGGATTTGAATGGTTACAGAATAAATAAATAGATTTGGAACTTCCATGGAATAATTTAACATTTTCTAATTAGTGCTGTCTAAAATATGTTCTTATGCTGATATAATGACCAACATGACATTTAAGGTACTAATTTTGTATATTTGCTTAATGCAGTGGCGATCCGACAATGTACGAGAGATTTTGGCAACAAGCAGGTGACAAATCCACCATTATGATTCCTGGTTGGCAATCTATGAGCTACTTCTCTGATGCTGGGAGCCTTTGCTGGTTTTTAGAGCCAGAGTTTGCCAAGGAGATAATTAGACTGCACAAAAGAGTTGGGAATGCAGTCACCAAGGACCGTTACATTGTTGTTGGGACAGGTTCTACTCAGCTTTATCAAGCTGTGTTATATGCACTTTCCCCCAGGATGCAGTGGAACCCCTTAGTGTTGTATCTGCGTCCCCTTACTACTCTGTGAGTATTAAAGCTTCTTATGCATTGTTTGATTTTACTTTCTGATATTTATTTGTCTTTATTCTATTATTTTAATTTAGTATCTCAACATGGTGGGTGCATTTATACATAATGTGCCTTTCAAATTTCTCTGCATCAATATTAAATTGCTGGTCTTTTCTAATGCGTAGTTTCAACCCTTATTTTTTTTAGTTCTTCAGATCCACTTTTTTCTTTTTTTAATTAAAACCTCGTGCTCCCATATCTTCCATTGCTATTTCCATACAAATATGCATGTGCTGAGTTTATAGAATAAGTCAGCTTTAAATGTTAATCAAGTGTTCCTTTTAGTTTCAAATCCATAAAATAAGAGTTATGCATCTGTACATGCATTGGTGAGTTGAATCTTATGCACATGGTTTTATGTTCTTTTGAACATGTTATCATCACCTTGAATGAGGTCGGCTGTAATAACAATGAAAAATCATAATTGAAACAAAGTTGCTCATAATGGTCAAGATCCATCTTCCATGCACAATTTCCCCCAAATAATATGAGCTCAATGCAGCAGATCCACTCCATCTCTTCATCTTACTCTAGCTTTTATTCTGGCTCACTTTGTTCTTCAACTTTATTGGATTTCAAAGTAGAAGATTCTTCATTTGATATAAAATAAAATTTCTACCTTCTGTAATATTGATTCTTTAATTGTGAAGAAATTTAGCAATAATTAACTCCTGGCATCACAATCTTTGTATCTAACCTTAATTATACTTGGATGGTTATGATGTTTGATCTAACTTTCATGTTGATATTTTGTTGCAGTCTTATCCATTAATCACTGACTGCCTGAAGTCAGGGCTTTATAAATGGGCTGGTGATGCACAGAGTTTCAATAGAGAGGGACCATTTATTGAACTCGTTACCTCCCCTAATAATCCAGATGGATACGTCAGGCAGTCTGTCGTCAACAAAAGTGGGGGCATCTTGGTTCATGATCTTGCATATTATTGGCCACAATACTCGCCAATAGATGCTGTTGCTGATCATGACATTATGCTCTTCACTGTGTCGAAAAGCACAGGACATGCTGGGATGCGCATTGGGTAAGCTTAACTTAGATAGTGTTAAGCATTGTAACTAGATGATTAAGGATATTATAAATTCTTTCTTCCACTTGTTTCAGCTGGGCTCTTGTCAAGGATGAAGAAGTAGCCAAAAAGATGGTGAAGTTCATAGAGCTCAACACAATCGGCGTGTCAAGGGATTCGCAGCTTCGAGCAGCTAAAGTGCTGCAAGTTGTGACTGATGGCTGCGAATATCCTACCAGCCTCAGGTCCCTCTTTGATTTTGCTGCCCACCTCATGGAAGAGAGGTGGAAGTTATTGAGAGCTGCAGTTAGGCAAAGTAGTCTCTTCACTTTGCCTGAGTTTTCCCCTGGATCATGCGGTTTTCTCAACAGATCCTTTGAACCTCGACCTGGTAAATATGGCTTATATCTTAGATCATTCATAATTACATCAATAATATCGTTTAGGAATTTTATTTTCTTTTACGAAAATAAGTTTTTACATTTACATTGTATGTATTGGTTCTTGTGCAGCTTTTGCGTGGTTAAAATGCGAAGAACCAATAGAAGACTGCGAAGGCTTTCTCCGATCTAACAATATCTTAACTAGAAGTGGTAAACACTTCGGTGTTGGCCCACATTATGTTAGGATAAGTATGCTAGATCGAGATGAAACCTTCTATATATTTGTAGAGAGATTATCCACCATCCACCTGCGACAATCCAGACAAGTAAATGAGACGGGGGAATAGCACAAGCAAAGGAAGTCCGTACTTGTAAAAGAGGTAAGGGGGGACAAGGGCAATTCAAATGAAAGCAATTTATATTTTATCATCCCTAAAGCTCAATTTATTCTGAAGTTTGGATAACCTGCCTATCAAGGAATTGGTCTTATATCAGTTCTTAAATCTTGCATCTTTTTACCTACGAACGAATCCATACATGAGAATTAAAATATGAAGATGGACAAAATGTAATTATCAAGTTCCATTCTATATTGGATTTTATTTGAAAGTTCTTTGGTCATCAAAATTGTTAAAATCAAGGCTAGGATTGCTTTTGCACTGCCAAGCGTGCAGCTTGCATTGGGCCTACACAGCAGGCCCATGCAAGTAGGCTTGCCTTGGGCCTGCAGATGCAAGTCACGCAAGCGTACTTTTGTTTTTAAAAAAACACCAATTTATGTTTAATTTTTTATTATTAAATTGAGTCTAAAACTTATGAAAAACCAATCATTAGTTTTTTTTTACACAAATTGGCGGTTATATATATATATATATATATATTCAGATTTTAGAATGAACATATATATTAGATTATATTATTTTTATTGTTTAAAATTGATTTATTCAATTTGTTGTTTCTTATAAAAATTCTCATAAAAGTAATTTTTTTTGTGTAATTTTATCTGTTAATAAATATGATTTATTTCTTTATGTATGGATTTTTGAATAAGTTTTTTTGAATTATTTTTATTTGCTTATTCTTTATATAATAAAATTTTTAAAATAGAATTTATATGTTTTATTTGCTTATTATTTATATAATCAAATTTATTAGAATTAATTTTATCGTTATTTTTATTGTACTCTATTGATTTTAATATTTTTTTGCAATTTGTTTTTTTTTAAATATTTTTTTAATTTATATAACACACTCTAACCCATTGAGTATGGTTATAGTGTATAAAAAAAATTAAAAATAATTAATTTTATTAAAAATTAACTATTCATCTACACATAATATCAAGGATTTGTTATTTTTTAAACATTTTAAAATTAAACTCTTTTAAATAAAATAATTAAAATAATATTTTAAAAGAATTGTCTAATAATTTAAATACAACCTTTTATACTAATATTATTCATTATTTTTTTAAATAAATATATATAAATTAAATATACATATTTTCAAAAAATTAATCTTTTTATCAGTATTAAATAAAAATAAAGAAAATTCATTTGTTATTTTCTATATAATTTTTTATGTTAATTATTGATTTATTTCTTCGATGGAATGATATAAAAAATTATTAAGACATTTTTTTTAAAAAAAATTAATATTTAGATTATTATGGGTTTTTATTTAAGAGAAATGTACAATAAAGAACAAATTATGTTTTTTTAATTACAAAATTTATTAAAAACTTAAAAAAAATTAAATATAAAATTTTGATTAAAACTATAAAATTATTTAAAATTTATTTTTTATATTTAATTTAATATATTTTAATTAACTAATAACATAGTACATATTATTAAATTAAAATAATTATGTTTAATTCGACCTTCAAGCATAACGCGAGAAGTCAACAAATACATCTTCTAAATGGTAAGATCTAATCTTTTGTTCTCTCTCGTTTAACTCGTTCTAATATGTGATTTTGTGTTTCTTTTGATTTTGTTTAATCATGAACACTTAAAATACATTAAATCAAGTGTTGCTTTGATTAGTTATAGGAGTAAATTGTAGATGAATAAAAAAAAAAGAAAGAAAGAAAGAAGAGGAAATCTAGTAATAGCCCGAAGTAAAACTAGAAAAACAACTTAGTTTGCAAAACCCGAATCTTATATGACGAAAATAAAGAAAGGAAAGAAAGGATTTAGAGGAGAGCGACCAGCAATTAGCAATCTTTTTTTCACTTCCTTCTAAAATTAGTAGGCATATATAGATTTTGATGTTAAAAGCATTTTTAGTAAGATTTTACATAAATAAAGACTAAGGTGGTGTTTGATAAAGCTGAAAATTAAGTGTTAAATCTGTTAAGTACTGAATTTTATATATTGAATCCGTTAAATATTGAATATGTCCTCGATAAGTCTGTTTGGTATTTACTCGAAAATTAAGTGCTAAATATAGTAAGCTTGTTTGATAAATATTGTTACTCGAACATATTAAGGCTATATTTATGACAATTTTAACCTTGTAATAGTAACATGATATTTTTTAACACAAATACAAATATATACATAGATGTGTTTGTGTGTACAAATAAATAAATAAAAATTCAATAAAAATTATTATTAATAAAAATTTAAATACGATCTAAGATAATATTAATTGTCATATCATGCAAAAAATAAATGAAATCTTAAGTACTAATAAATTCATTTTCAATTTGGTCTTGCAAATTAATTATAAATGTTTGATTAGCTTGTGCTTGCGAACCTCTTCCAATGAATGGTAAATTTACAGTAATATTTGATGTTTTTGCCATCAAATGGTTCTAACAATTATTCTTCGAAGATAATTATGTATTGCAATACATGGAATAATAATATCTCTTTGAACTACAAATGGATATAGAGTCATTGTCTTTAGAATTGAAAACCTTGTTGATATTTCTAGAGTGCACGCTTTGAGAAGTCCTTCTAGGTGGAGAATTGAAAGCCCAATTCAAATCATTTTCTTAAATCTTTTCTATAGTTTCTTACTTTCTACTAGAATGCATTTTTTTTTTTTAATATCCATTCAGTATAAGCAGAATTATTGTCTCATTCACTTATGACGATCTACTACTTTCTACTTCAAGCAGGATTTTCACAAAAGTAGAATGACAAGGTCATCAACGTTTCTTGCTACTTCTTATAACCAGCCAGATGATTCTTTCAATCAAGATGTGGTCACTATTGTTTAGAAAAGCATGAAAAGACATACTGACAACATCATAGTGTTTTCTTGAGGGTATCAGTTCACGGCTGTCCCAGTTGAAATCGTGTTGCTACAACCTTGATAAATGAATTGGAGAAATGCGATCAGATTTTGTTCGTGACAATGAGGATGGAGATTTTAAATTTAAATCCCTTGAGAAGCATGTTCAAGAGGTGAGAGTAGATTGCTTTTCGTCAGTGTTTTCATGATCATGGTTTAATAACTGTTGGTGTTTGATGGCTAAGTCTATGCTAGAAAGTTGGACTTTGAAAAATTAGAGAAAACAGCTAAATGACTAGATAATTGAAGTTGTGGTCCATAATGATGTCGTAACTGTATTTTTGTATGCTTGTGATGCATTAGGAACTCACTTCCAAGGGTATGATGAGTGATCTAATTTTATTTAACATGTTTTCCATCAAACTTGAGTACTTGAAAAAGTCAGGGTTTTTATGCACTTGCATTTCTTTTAGAGCTATGATTTATAGCGAACTGTCTAGCCTTTAGCAACAAGCGATGTTAGATGCATTCTTTATAGATTATTGGTGGATTCAATTAGGACTTGTAAAATTATGGGCCATGAGATTTTTATCGTTTTGTTTTACATGTATCGAGCTTTCGATTATGAATTCATGATGCGTGTCTGTTTCATCTATCTAACTGCTCAATTTTTTGGACAAAAACATGTAAAATATATAATTATCGGTAATGAGATTAGACTTCGAAGTTTCAAATTTCGAGATGGAAGCATCAATAATAAAGAAGGTTTTTTTTGTTTTAGTAATGAAGATGGTAGATATTATTGTTCAGTTGGTTTGTATAGTTATAACTTAGTTAAAGTTATAAGAATATATTAGGGCAAAATATTTTAATTGAATGTATTAATCAAAAAGTAATAAATTAAAAATTTTAACTTATCCGATTAAGTAGATTTTGATTGAACTTAAATTTTTAATATGAGATTATTTAGTTTGTCAAATAAACTTTTTATATTAAGTACTACAATTTAATTTTTTAAGCTACTTAAATAGGTTATCAAACATTTCCTAAGTCTCTTTTTGAATGATTTTTTCTTTGCCTTAATTAATCAAATATAAATATTAGTCACTGCAAGTTTGTTTGAATTAAGGGTTTTTTTTTATTCAATTTACTATTTCAAGATTAAGTTTTTTTTTTTAAATCTTATTTTAAATTTAATGTATCCTGATTTATATAAAACACTAAAAGAAAAGAAGACTCTTTTCATTCATAGAAAATAAGTTAAACATAATTTTTTTTTTATAATGAAAAAAAAGAAGTTAGATATGTCATGAGACACCAGATAGATTAGATATGTTTTTTTAACATCCACAAAGTTTACTTGTAATGATTTTCCCTTATCATTATTAAAGTGTGATTAAATCGGGTAATTTAATTTTTTCTAGAGTTAATAAACATATATATAAAATAATGGTAACATCAATTTTTTAAAATTACTATTTAACAGACATGATACATCATATTAGCACTAATTTGTGTTTTACTTAGAATTAGATTCTGTAATAAAGCATATTAGTACTGAGTTTCAATTTCAGGATGGAATCATAAATATGACGCTTACCTATTGTACGTAGTTGCAGATGGGTAGAAAATTGTCTCGGAAAGACATGATATATCGTAGGCCCTTTTGCTGCATTGAACTTGTGGCAAAAATATGATGATTTATGTGCAAGGCCAACAATACGATGGCTCTCTTGCTCATTTTGTTGCTGCGTTTCCCAATACTTTGCTGGGACATCCCTGCATGAGTTTAGAAATAAAATTAAAGATTTCTATATTTCTAAACCTTTTTACAGGTTCACTCAATTTGTGCTGTAAGGTAAACACAACAGTAACAAATTTTGAACGAATGATTACCATCTAATTAGGACTTGAATGTTTCTACAATAGTTTTATATTTGCAAAAAATTCATCAAAAAAGTAATTATTCTTATTATGATAATTTTGATATAATAAGTAGATTTCAAATTTAAGGACTTGAAAACATCTTACTTGTTGGATTTATCAGTATATTTCAATTGCAAATTTAAGTAAAATAAAGGCTAAATTCATACATATACCT